TTTATTCTGGTGGTCTCCCAGCATCCCCTAATGTGATTTGCATTTCTGGCTGGGTGGGCCACACCTTTTAAGGATTAGCTTACGGTGTAATAGGGCATGTTAATCAGTTATTCTATTGAAGACCTGTTGTTCGCCATCATCCACCCACTTCCATGTAAATCCCAAAGACAATGTAATTACCCATTTCCGTGATGCACACAAAGTTATATGTGTGTGTATGCATGTATACATGTGTCATCCACCCATAATATGCTTGCAAGGTTCCAATTTACATCGTGTGTGCAACTGCAGCGTGGCCTTGCGGTTACATACCCAGGTACTTGCATGTATATCGCAAAAAAACTATCTATATGTGCATATTTATATAGAGATAGATTTATGCATATACATGTGTGTGCGCGTGCATGGGCTTCCAAAGTTCACGAACTTGTATATGGTTGCATAGGCTTCGAGAGTGCATGAACTTGTATACGTGCATATCTATGTATATATATATGTACACACACATATATTACATGTATATGTAGATGTATATATGTACAGGTGTGGAGGACGTGCTTCCACACAGATTTGAAATTCCGCATCCTGTACCCACCATGCCCTTTCGGGGTTTGGGATAGGAGCCTGCGGCCCTCCATTTTCCTTTCAGTGCATGGCTGCCTAAATGCCTCATTGTTGCATACACATATGCTCGCTTATTTCAGCAATATTGCACATGTTTCCGTGATACTTATGTATGTACGTATATACCCGTGTATGTACATATGTATTAAGCATATATGTATGTGTGCATAAGGATGGGAAAAGCATGAACATGGAAACAGCATGAGCATGTGTGTATGTAAGCTTACACATCCATATGCAGGTGTGTATGCATGCCTTCATGTCATATACCAACATGCATACACAGACGTGTATATAGATACATACATATATATGTTGGTACAAACATCTATATACCAAGGTTGGCTTCCAGGTAACTATATATGTTCCGCCTCAAATGTAACAAGGATATTGTAGCTTGCAATTTTTACTGCATTGTCTAAGTTTCTGGGTGAGGGTCCAATATCTTCTACAGTCTAAGGTTTTGGGTTCGCCACCCAGCATCTCTTGAGACGGTTAGGACCATCATATGCATTTGGGTTCGAGGCCCAATAACTCCTTCTGAACTTGGGTCCCGGTACAAGGATCTTATTCCCATCATACTTTTACTGTGTAGAATGAATTACCCATCATACTTCTGTCACAGTTTTCAGGTGTTGGAGCCGCTTTCCTAGGTGGTGGACAACACTAGCAAGCGTAAAGTCTTGACAGAGGGATGTTTCATTGGACAGGACAGGATTGGTGGCATACTGGAAACCTTGAAATGATTGAGCAACGCTGGATTGGGAGTGCCAAAGGCCGAAGGCTCCAGGCATCCTCTGCTTACAGACATGCGCCCTCCGGATGGCCCCTGGGGGCCGGGCGCCAAAAAAAAAAAAAAAAAAAATTGGCCAGAGATTTTGCACACAAGATTTTTTTTTTCTTTTTTTTTTGGCGCCCCCCCCCCCCAGGGCTCCAGGGCTCCAGGCCTCCATACTCCAAGGCCTAGAGGCCTAGAGCCACACCTTAAGGCCATGCCCTTATGTCCTTGAAAGTTTGTCCCATAACTTTATCTCTCTCGGACCGGTGTTCGGTTATGCCCGAACATTTTCAAATGGTTTGGTGGAATTTGTTGTCAATTCAGAACACGTCGTAAAATGTTGTATGCTGCTAAAACAATGTTGCGGGAAACGAAGAGCTTGCTGAGCTTGCCATCTGAGAGTGCAAGTGAAAACACGAAAACACGAAAAAGCACGCCACCAGGGCGTGATGTTCTGTTAAATTTAGGGATGTCGAGGTTAAAATGAACACGGCAGCTTACTTTCTGGAGGACGTGTTCTCGTCGGGTCCACCCAGAGAGGGGGGTGAATTTCGAGCACGAATCGTCGATGACTGCCACGCACGCACTGCTATGATTCAGGAGCACGGCCAAAACGCTTGCCCAGTGTACTGACGGCATCCAGATGGCATGACCTCCACGGAAAATCCCTTGCAACGCTTTTGGCAACAAGCGGAACAGAACAAATCTGAAATCAGAGAGCTCCGTGGCTACCTAAACCTTTGAGCCTGCGTACGTACCCTGAGCCTGTAGAATCCTAAACCCGCTATGTGAACCCTAGACAAGCCCAGAACTTCTCCGAGGCCCCGAGCGTCGGCTTGGGAGCCGCGTCTGCTGCCCTGGCACTCGGCGCCGTGTCCCAGCGCGCCCGGGGCCCCAGCGTATTGGGGGAAGGGTTGGATGGTCCGGACTTGTGTGGGCTAAGGTGTATAGGCTTGAAGTCATTTTTCAGTTGTTCTTTGGAGGGAGTCCGGGGCCGTAGGTGTAGTGGTGGGACTTTGGCTGGTGGCCCTCCAGGTGCACAACATAGCATCGTGACCCTGCAATTTGACATTGCTCAGTAGCTCGACAGGGGGCGTGGGCGCGTGTTTGTGTCGGTGTGTGCGTCGAGCCCGGTTTCCCTCTGCAGATGATAGTTACACTGAGAATGTTCCAAGCGAAGCGGTGAAACACGCAGAGGCTGGTTCCGTGAGCGGCTAAGGTCGTTTTCAAGGGCACCCCGCAGCAGCGAACAGCCATCCCGGCCTTGGCTTACCGCTGCACAACTCGTGTGAGCCGGGTTCACGATATATAGAAGGAGAATGCTTATAGGAGGGGGGGGGGGAGGGGAACAGTAGAGGTGGTTTCTTCGGAACGAGCGGAAAACGTCGACCTCGCGGTTGAGACCCGCAAAAGCGATCTTCGGCAGTAAGCCGTTTATACACACTCCAAACTCTGAAACCTAAGGCACAAAACGCCATAGAGCCCAAAGCATCCCAACGCCCATATCTATCCTATCTTCACGCCAATATAGTCAGAGTCTGATAGTCGTCTCCTCAAATTTCATGATCGGCTTGCGGTTTCCAGCATTTTACGGTTTAGGGGGTTGTGGAGATTTATGGAGCTTCGCTCGATCAGTTGGAACTGTGTGCAACTGTTGCAACTTGTTGTAGTGCTGTTCTCGTCGTACTGGTAGTTCTTTCCCTTAAGTTGTTCTCTTTCATCAGGTTCAACGTCTTTCCGGCTCTCGTGTGCTTCTTTCTGCAATCGTGCTCGTGTTTAGCGACAGAACTTGTTCATATTTCGCCAGTAGGTGAAACGGGGGGACGGGGGATGCCATGCCGAACGAAGGAAATGGTGTGCATGTTGCGGCATCCATGTTCGGCCCTGCAGAGATCGTGCTTGGTCTTTCACTGTGCGGTGTCGCTGTGTGGGGCTTCGACATGAGCTTCAGGGGCTTGCACTGCGACGTGACAATAGGCCCACCATTGGAATTTCTGATGCTTCGTCTGAAGCATTCAGAAGGTCTTGTGCCATTGCGTGTGGGTGATGTGTAAGCGCCAGAGCTTGCTGCCAGGTAGCTCTGAAGGCCTTCGAAAGCGAGCTCGGAGTGCAACTTGCTCCGTTTGGGGTTCTACCCATGGCCGGTTTAAATTTGGGGCCCTGGCGACCCAACCCCTTGGCAGTAGTGATGAGGTGTTGACAGCGGGCCGAGCCTAACCCAACTCCGCCGTGCTTGGTTCAGGATTCGGATGTGGCCACCTGAAGTTGTTCGCCTTTTTTTGGCGCGGTCGTGGTTCTCCTCCCATGTCTGCGAGATTTGTTGCTTTCGTAGATCTTCCTCTCAGGGTCCGAGGATTTCAGTGGGCAAAGGAAGACCCCCCCCACCCAACTGCCATGCAAACGTTGGCTCGACTTGGAAGCCGGTTACGTTCCAGGCCTAAGAGACCTTCGCGAGCACTTAATAGAAACGTCAGCTTCTTCGCAGCAGTTTTGAGTGGCATGCGGCTCCGTCAGAGCATGCTCCCATCACAATACCAAGATGGCGGTAACATGATGTAACATGTAACACTAGATCCGAGTCAACCGGACTTGTGCAGAACATGACTACGATGTTCCTGAACAGCAAACAGCGAGAGGATGCTCAAGCACGCAGCCAACAAGCACTGATCACCCAGAGTGGAACGCTCCTTCAACCTCGATGCCTCGAGAACCCCAATGCATGCTGACGACCACCGAACACTCCTTCGACAACAACGCCAGAAAGAATCTCATAGAATCTCCACGCGTGCTGAGGCAGGACCCAGTTGGATTTTGGGATCCAGCAGGCTTCACCGCCGATGGCAGCGTTGAGAACTTCAAGCGCCGCCGCCAGACCGAATTGAAGCACGGCCGCATCTCCATGCTTGCGACGATGGGATACATCACTCCAGAGCGACTTTCTTGCAGAAGGTGTTTTTGATAGCATGTGCGGAGTTGGGTTCGGCAGCCCTTTAATCCATTTCTCTTGCAAACGATGTTTATTCATAGCATGTGCGGTGTTGGCTTAGGCAGATGTTTCGTGTTGTCAGACTTGCTTTTTAAGTTGTAATTAAGGAGTTGTGTTTCAATTTTATCGTGAAAGCCCGGTAAGGATCACTGGCAAGTTCCCTGGGTATTTGTCTCCATCAGCTGGATTGAAGTTCGCAGATGTGCCCAACGGATTGGCTGCGATCTCCAAGGTGCCTGCCGCAGGATGGGGACAGATCCTCGCGTACATGGCCTTCTGCGAGGTTTCCCAGGACCAGTCTCCCGGCACCCCAGCCGCAGCGGGCGACTTCGGCTTCAAGGTCTTGACGTCCAGCGACCCAGCTGAGAAGACCAAAAAGTTGTCGGCAGAGTTGGCCAACGGAAGGCTTGCGATGATGGCCATCATCGGCATGTTCTTCCAGGCGGGATATCAACATCGAAATCATCGATATATCAGCCTGTGCCAGTGTCATCGTGTGCGCCAGTGTCTTAGTGTGTGGGTGGTCAAAACATGCATCCGTGGATATTTCGAAAACTTCGTAATGGAGCTAGTTTGTTTAATGTGATGTGTTTTTTTGTTCTCGCATGCCAGGATGGTCTGACCGGAAGCGCCTGGGGTGACTGGGCCAACTACACCGCATCGCCTTTGCGTGCGTTCGAGAACGAGCTCGGTGTGCAGGACCCAGTTGGATTTTGGGATCCAGCAGGCTTCACCGCCGATGGCAGCGTTGAGAACTTCAAGCGCCGCCGCCAGACCGAATTGAAGCACGGCCGCATCTCCATGCTTGCGACGATGGGATACATCACTCCAGAGCGACTTTCTTGCAGAAGGTGTTTTTGATAGCATGTGCGGAGTTGGGTTCGGCAGCCCTTTAATCCATTTCTCTTGCAAACGATGTTTATTCATAGCATGTGCGGTGTTGGCTTAGGCAGATGTTTCGTGTTGTCAGACTTGTTTTAAGTTGTAATTAAGGAGTTGTGTTTCAATTTTATCGTGTCAGCCCGGTAAGGATCACTGGCAAGTTCCCTGGATATTTGTCTCCATCAGCTGGATTGAAGTTCGCAGATGTGCCCAACGGATTGGCTGCGATCTCCAAGGTGCCTGCCGCAGGATGGGGACAGATCCTCGCGTACATGGCCTTCTGCGAGGTTTCCCAGGACCAGTCTCCCGGCACCCCAGCCGCAGCGGGCGACTTCGGCTTCAAGGTCTTGACCTCCAGCGACCCAGCTGAGAAGACCAAAAAGTTGTCGGCAGAGTTGGCCAACGGAAGGCTTGCGATGATGGCCATCATCGGCATGTTCTTCCAGGCGGGATATCAACATCGAAATCATCGATATATCAGCCTGTGCCAGTGTCATCGTGTGCGCCAGTGTCTTAGTGTGTTGTGGTGGTCAAAACATGCATCCGTGGATATTTCGAAAACTTCGTAATGGAGCTAGTTTGTTTAATGTGATGTGTTTTTTTGTTCTCGCATGCCAGGATGGTCTGACCGGAAGCGCCTGGGGTGACTGGGCCAACTACACCGCATCGCCTTTGCGTGCGTTCGAGAACGAGCTCGGTGTGCAGGACCCAGTTGGATTTTGGGATCCAGCAGGCTTCACCGCCGATGGCAGCGTTGAGAACTTCAAGCGCCGCCGCCAGACCGAATTGAAGCACGGCCGCATCTCCATGCTTGCGACGATGGGATACATCACTCCAGAGCGACTTTCTTGCAAAGGTGTTTTTGATAGCATGTGCGGAGTTGGGTTCGGCAGCCCTTTAATCCATTTCTCTTGCAAAAGATGTTGATTCATAGCATGTGCGTGTTTAAACAGATGTTTCGTGTTGTCAGACTTGCGTTTTAAGTTGTAATTAAAGGAGTTGTGTTTCAATTTCATCGTGTCAGCCCGGTAAGGATCACTGGCAAGTTCCCTGGATATTTGTCTCCATCAGCTGGATTGAAGTTCGCAGATGTGCCCAACGGATTGGCTGCGATCTCCAAGGTGCCTGCCGCAGGATGGGGACAGATCCTCGCGTACATGGCCTTCTGCGAGGTTTCCCAGGACCAGTCTCCCGGCACCCCAGCCGCAGCGGGCGACTTCGGCTTCAAGGTCTTGACGTCCAGCGACCCAGCTGAGAAGACCAAGAAGTTGTCGGCAGAGTTGGCCAACGGAAGGCTTGCGATGATGGCCATCATCGGCATGTTCTTCCAGGCGGGATATCAACATCGAAATCATCGATATATCAGCCTGTGCCAGTGTCATCGTGTGCGCCAGTGTCTTAGTGTGTCGGTGGTCAAAACATGCATCCGTGGATATTTCGAAAACTTCGTAATGGAGCTAGTTTGTTTAATGTGATGTGTTTTTTTGTTCTCGCATGCCAGGATGGTCTGACCGGAAGCGCCTGGGGTGACTGGGCCAACTACACCGCATCGCCTTTGCGTGCGTTCGAGAACGAGCTCGGTGTGCAGGACCCAGTTGGATTTTGGGATCCAGCAGGCTTCACCGCCGATGGCAGCGTTGAGAACTTCAAGCGCCGCCGCCAGACCGAATTGAAGCACGGCCGCATCTCCATGCTTGCGACGATGGGATACATCACTCCAGAGCGACTTTCTTGCAGAAGGTGTTTTTGATAGCATGTGCGGAGTTGGGTTCGGCAGCCCTTTAATCCATTTCTCTTGCAAAAGATGTTGATTCATAGCATGTGCAGATGTTGGCTTAGGCAGATGTTTCGTGTTGTCAGACTTGCGTTTTAAGTTGTAATTAAAGAGTTGTGTTTCAATTTCATCGTGTCAGCCCGGTAAGGATCACTGGCAAGTTCCCTGGATATTTGTCTCCATCAGCTGGATTGAAGTTCGCAGATGTGCCCAACGGATTGGCTGCGATCTCCAAGGTGCCTGCCGCAGGATGGGGACAGATCCTCGCGTACATGGCCTTCTGCGAGGTTTCCCAGGACCAGTCTCCCGGCACCCCAGCCGCAGCGGGCGACTTCGGCTTCAAGGTCTTGACGTCCAGCGACCCAGCTGAGAAGACCAAAAAGTTGTCGGCAGAGTTGGCCAACGGAAGGCTTGCGATGATGGCCATCATCGGCATGTTCTTCCAGGCGGGATATCAACATCGAAATCATCGATATATCAGCCTGTGCCAGTGTCATCGTGTGCGCCAGTGTCTTAGTGTGTGGGTGGTCAAAACATGCATCCGTGGATATTTCGAAAACTTCGTAATGGAGCTAGTTTGTTTAATGTGATGTGTTTTTTTGTTCTCGCATGCCAGGATGGTCTGACCGGAAGCGCCTGGGGTGACTGGGCCAACTACACCGCATCGCCTTTGCGTGCGTTCGAGAACGAGCTCGGTGTGCAGGACCCAGTTGGATTTTGGGATCCAGCAGGCTTCACCGCCGATGGCAGCGTTGAGAACTTCAAGCGCCGCCGCCAGACCGAATTGAAGCACGGCCGCATCTCCATGCTTGCGACGATGGGATACATCACTCCAGAGCGACTTTCTTGCAGAAGGTGTTTTTGATAGCATGTGCGGAGTTGGGTTCGGCAGCCCTTTAATCCATTTCTCTTGCAAAAGATGTTGATTCATAGCAGCAGATGTTTAAGCAGATGTTTCGTGTTGTCAGACTTGCGTTTTAAGTTGTAATTAAAGAGTTGTGTTTCAATTTCATCGTGTCAGCCCGGTAAGGATCACTGGCAAGTTCCCTGGATATTTGTCTCCATCAGCTGGATTGAAGTTCGCAGATGTGCCCAACGGATTGGCTGCGATCTCCAAGGTGCCTGCCGCAGGATGGGGACAGATCCTCGCGTACATGGCCTTCTGCGAGGTTTCCCAGGACCAGTCTCCCGGCACCCCAGCCGCAGCGGGCGACTTCGGCTTCAAGGTCTTGACGTCCAGCGACCCAGCTGAGAAGACCAAAAAGTTGTCGGCAGAGTTGGCCAACGGAAGGCTTGCGATGATGGCCATCATCGGCATGTTCTTCCAGGCGGGATATCAACATCGAAATCATCGATATATCAGCCTGTGCCAGTGTCATCGTGTGCGCCAGTGTCTTAGTGTGTCGGGTGGTCAAAACATGCATCCGTGGATATTTCGAAAACTTCGTAATGGAGCTAGTTTGTTTAATGTGATGTGTTTTTTTGTTCTCGCATGCCAGGATGGTCTGACCGGAAGCGCCTGGGGTGACTGGGCCAACTACACCGCATCGCCTTTGCGTGCGTTCGAGAACGAGCTCGGTGTGCAGGACCCAGTTGGATTTTGGGATCCAGCAGGCTTCACCGCCGATGGCAGCGTTGAGAACTTCAAGCGCCGCCGCCAGACCGAATTGAAGCACGGCCGCATCTCCATGCTTGCGACGATGGGATACATCACTCCAGAGCGACTTTCTTGCAGAAGGTGTTTTTGATAGCATGTGCGGAGTTGGGTTCGGCAGCCCTTTAATCCATTTCTCTTGCAAAAGATGTTGATTCATAGCAGCAGATGTTTAAGCAGATGTTTCGTGTTGTCAGACTTGCGTTTTAAGTTGTAATTAAAGAGTTGTGTTTCAATTTCATCGTGTCAGCCCGGTAAGGATCACTGGCAAGTTCCCTGGATATTTGTCTCCATCAGCTGGATTGAAGTTCGCAGATGTGCCCAACGGATTGGCTGCGATCTCCAAGGTGCCTGCCGCAGGATGGGGACAGATCCTCGCGTACATGGCCTTCTGCGAGGTTTCCCAGGACCAGTCTCCCGGCACCCCAGCCGCAGCGGGCGACTTCGGCTTCAAGGTCTTGACGTCCAGCGACCCAGCTGAGAAGACCAAAAAGTTGTCGGCAGAGTTGGCCAACGGAAGGCTTGCGATGATGGCCATCATCGGCATGTTCTTCCAGGCGGGATATCAACATCGAAATCATCGATATATCAGCCTGTGCCAGTGTCATCGTGTGCGCCAGTGTCTTAGTGTGTGGGTGGTCAAAACATGCATCCGTGGATATTTCGAAAACTTCGTAATGGAGCTAGTTTGTTTAATGTGATGTGTTTTTTGTTCTCGCATGCCAGGATGGTCTGACCGGAAGCGCCTGGGGTGACTGGGCCAACTACACCGCATCGCCTTTGCGTGCGTTCGAGAACGAGCTCGGTGTGCAGGACCCAGTTGGATTTTGGGATCCAGCAGGCTTCACCGCCGATGGCAGCGTTGAGAGCTTCAAGCGCCGCCGCCAGACCGAATTGAAGCACGGCCGCATCTCCATGCTTGCGACGATGGGATACATCACTCCAGAGCGACTTTCTTGCAGAAGGTGTTTTTGATAGCACGTGCGGAGTTGGGTTCGGCAGCCCTATAACCTATTTCTCGTGCAAAAGATGTTGATTCACGGCATGTGCAGTTTCTTCTCCCCTTCAAACGTAGCACGCTCGTTTTTCTCCTCGTCTTTTATCGTCTTTCGCGTCCTAGCCCTGCCCAGCCTTGCCCCCGAACCATGCGCAGGATCATGATGAGACCGCCGCGCCGCTCTTTTTCTCCGTTCGGCCCAAACAGCACAGGAGCAGAGATCAGAGACTACAACAGAACTGCAACGTACCCTCGGAGACCGACTGAAGTCGCGGCATGCCTACGGCAGCTGACGTGATGCGTAGGGACCTTGACTTGTTAGGACAACAGTTTCGCGTCGTTCTCGTCAACTTCACGTCGTTGGATGGGGAGTACGACCGAGTGCGTGCAGCTAACCAGCTCCGCGATTTTACCGGTCTTGCGATCCCCATCATCCAAACGACGCTGAGGGATGCTCTCGGGGAGGCGTGGTGCCAACCACGGTTTTGGGGCCAGCGGCGACCCAAGTCGTACAGACCATGAGTGGCACGTTAACTAACCGCCTGGGTGACGCTACAGAAGGTATCCTGCAACATATCATCGGGGAGTCCCCACCCGCGCTTCAACTCTCCTACTACTTCACGCCTCAGGTAGTGGTCGGCCTGTTTAGACAGAGGGGCTCTGATTATCTCCTGAGACTGCGAAGTGGTCACCCGGGCAGTTTTGTATCGCAACTGCTCACAACAGTGGCGGGCCCAATGTTGCGTAATGTGCAGGACGATCCTCTTCGCATCTTCTTAGATCGCAATATCAGGGTGCAGGCAAGGGTCAAGGGCAAAGGTAAGGGTAAAGGCAAGGCTCCAGGAAGAGGCAAAGGAAAGGGAAAGAAGGGCAATGACGACCGTGAACGCTCACCTCGTCGTGTCGCACCGCCGCCCGCCCTGCCTGTTCCCCCGAACAACGCTCCGCCCGCTGCGTCGCACCGCCCCATGGGGGCAGTTTAAATGACTCGCTGAATCCCAACACACCTGTTCGTTATGTATGTTCCTCCCTGCGGCCCCCGAATTGCGTTCCTGACTCTGTCAATACGATTCGGCGAATCAGCAGTTTTCCTAGCTTACTTAATCACTCCTCCGATTTTTCTTTTCTTCCAGAACCGGGCTCCGAACCCTTACTGTGCAGTTCTCCAAGGCACGTGTGAACGCTTACACTTGTGATCAGACGCGTCATCACTACACGTACAGCCGGTAGCTTTGCTAGTACTAGTACAAGAACATGTGTTGTGTAGCCTTACTGTTAAAAGCCCTGCATGCAAGATCGACGTGCGAGTTGACCCGGTGCTGTCACCTGACGGCGCTGTAATGGGTCTACAGCAGCAGCAGCAGCAGCAGCAGATCCTCGCGTACATGGCCTTCTGCGAGGTTTTCCAGGACCAGTCTCCCGGCACCCCAGCCGCAGCGGGCGACTTCGGCTTCAAGATCTTGACCTCCAGCGACCCAGCTGAGAAGACCAAAAAGTTGTCGGCAGAGTTGGCCAACGGAAGGCTTGCGATGACCCATGATGACCCCCCCGTACTTCCACCTCAACGCAGGGGGGGTGTGGCAACTCCTGCATTTAGTGTTGTGACGTGGAAGGTTTTTTTTGTTGTTTCTTGTTGTGTTTGAGAGTCGTGCATTCAACAGTGTTGGCAAGAGGCGAACGGAAGTAGGGCTAGGATGCTAAACATGGAACCGGGGTCCCTTTAGGGGGGACAATCCATGCTAGGCTTCTGGCCAACAGTGCGTTCGGGTTGGCTTCCCGTTCGCACTTACCTCTTAGCTACCACACGGGTAACGGATAACCGATACCAGCCACTATAGAGCTTCTCCATCCACCAGTGACGCTCGGACAGGAGCGGAGCTTGCGGGGGCGAAGGTGGCGTAGGGGG